TCAGTCGCAAGGCCGACGCTCTATCCACCGAGCCAAACCGGCCTTGGCATTGTTTTGTTTTGTTTTTTTGCAATAATGTCATGGACATTGTAGAACTCTAAAAGTCATTCTATAGTAATACCAGTTCTCACTGTCAGTAACACTATCTTTTTAACCATGGTTCATTTAGACTTCAAAAGAAGATACTATCTATGATAATAAAAGCGTAATATGCTAATTAGACCAGACAGTCCAGACGAAGGCAAGGTGCAAGGTCCGAGGCAAGCCACTGCCACTGCAAGGGCCAAGCCCCTTACATGAATTTCATGCATCAAGCCTCTAGTTAACTATATTAAATTGAGAATTTTTGAAATGGAAAGATTGAGTATAATTCTTGTTGAGCCTAGAACCAGATTACTGGGTCTGAAACAAAATTCCCAAATCTGATTCTAGATTGATTTAAACTTAATGCTTTATTCGAAAAAATTTAGACACCAAACGAAAGTTAACCTTCATTAAAGAAATCTTTGCAGAATAGCATGATAATCTGTGAAAATAGAGTAGGTTTGAAAGAAAACAAAATTGAGGAGACCTAAATATGTGTAGATTTACATATTTCAAACCAGATTACATGATTTGAATCTAATAGGTTCTCTACTAAATATAATTTTGCTTTCTATTCTTTCAGTGTATTTAATGATGTATTTTTTTCTTAAATGTTCTGTGTAGTTCAGAACTTTTATTAATTCGGATTACTCTCCTCAGCTTACATGCCTTTACTGTGTTTAAAATATACTTTATATAGGCATGAAACTTTCTAGTAATTTAACTTTCATACCGTTAAAGATACTCCGCTGGATTTTTACTTTGGGCTCTCTTTTTTATTGTTCTCAGGTGGTTTAGGATCACATGTGGCTCTAGTAATACGTATCTTTTGAAATAGTTCTTTTTTGGGCATTACTTTCTATATATTTAGAAATTACCGTCATCCTTCATGGGGGATTGGTTCTAGAACCCCCATAGATATCCATTCCTTATATAAAACTAGAGGCCCGGTGTACAAGAATCGTGCACTTGGGGGGAGGGGGAGTCCCTCAGCCTGGCCTGCGCCCTCTCGCAGTCCAGGAGCCCTCAGGGGATGTCCTACTGACAGCTTAGTGCTGCTGTGGAGGTGGGAGAGGCTCCTGCCACCGCCGCTATGTTGGCCCACTGTGAGCCTGGCCTCTGGCTGAGCGGCTCTCCCCCTGTGGAAGCGCACTGACTATCAGGGGGCACTTCCTCATTGTGTCTACCGCCTAGCGGTCAGTGCACGTCATAGCGACCGTTCATTCTGCCATTGGGTTGATTTGCAAATTAGCCTTTTATTATATAGGATGGTTATAGTATTTGCATATATCCTATGTATGCTTTACATCATCTCTAGATTATTTATGATAACTAATACAATGTAAATGCTATGTTAATGTAATACTGTATTATTTAGGGAACAATGACAAGGAAAAAAGTCTGTACATGTTCAGTACAGACACAACCATTGTAGGCCCAACTACATAGTACACATCAGTGGATGAGGAACCCACACATACAGAGAGCAGACTGTGTTATTGCATACTCATCACTCAGTGTCCTGACTGCTCTGCTTATCTGTAATGGTCATATGTTATTTATATTCTTAATATTTGTCTACTTGTTCTTTATTTCTTACATGTAGAGAGGAGTGCTATATGGTTTTAATATATGTAGTATGGGTAATAAGTACCATTTGGAGGTAGTTTACTCTAAGGTCTAGATCAGTGATTGCAAACCTTTTGAGCTCGGTGTGTCAGCATTTTGAAAAACCCTAACTTAACTCTGGTGCCGTGTCACATATAGAAATTTTTTGATATTTGCAACCATAGTAAAACAAAGACTTATATTTTTGATATTATTTTATATATTTAAATGCCATTTAACAAATAAAAATCAACCCAAAAAATGAGTTCGCGTGTCACCTCTGACATACGTGTCATAGGTTTGCCATCACTGGTCTAAGGTTTAGATGAAAGTGGAAGAGTTTCTTTTTTGCCACAATAAAAATCCTATGGTTCCTCTCTTAGATAACTTGTATAGCCTTTCATTAGCGAGCATTGTACACAGTAGGAATTCAGTAACTGTTTAATTCACTTGAATGCCTGGAGGATGTTTTATATTAGCAACATAGGGATTTGGCAGGTGTCGGACATAGCATGCCAAGTCTTCATTTATTCCCTGCTTTACAGGTCAGAGAGACAGAAATGACAGCTGTATATGAGGAAACAATTTTGGTCAAGCCCATTGGCAAAGTAGCCAGCAGACATAATTGGGGGAATGCTCGGAGGTACGCTGCCTGTGCTGCTGGACTCTCCTGGGCAACAACAGTAGCTGGGGAGGGGCAGGGCCGCAAGGAAGCCGCTTTACCTACCATACGTTGGTGTATGAGGTCCTGTCCTTCCCCCAGAACTCTCCTCACTTTGGGTTTTCCACAATGAAAATGGTGTTAGATGTTACATACCCTGGGTTACTCATCTCTGTAGTCTGTGCTCTGAAGTTATTTACATCCAAATTGGTGATAATTCATTCTGTAATTCTGGACGTTTTTTGTATGGCTAAAATTGTTACCAAATTTAAAAATGAAGAGCCTCGAGTTTACAATTTAGATTCAGGTACTTATGCGCCAATTGGGATGTTTTGTGTCATGGCTGGCTGCCTATATCACTAGGACCCAGCTGGTGGCTTTGGAATTAGATAAATCTGGGTTTCAATCCTCATCTACACTTGCTGAGAAAAACTCGTGAGCCACTATTCTCTTACTGAAAATAATAGTCCTACCTTCAACGTTTTGTTTTATGAGAAATAATGACAGTGTTATACAAACATTTAATAAATAGTAGATATTAGGGTAATTCTTTCTTTCTTTTTAATTTTATATTTTCCATTGATTTTTAGAGAGAATGGAAGGGGGTGAGGGTGGGGGGAGAGCAGCATTGACATAAGAGTGATACATCAATTGGTTGCTTTCTACTGGCCCAGGACCAGGGATTGAACCTGCAACTGAGATGCATGCCCTTGACCCTTTGGTCCGAAAGCTGACACTCTAGCCACTGAGCCAAACTGGCCACGGCTAATTCTTAATATTATTAATACACTAGAGGCTGGATGCACGAAAATCATGCACGTGGGGTTCGGGAGAAAGGGTCCCTCAGCTCGGCCTGCACCCTCTCCAATCCGTGATCCCTCTTGCAATCTGGGACCGCTGGCTCCTAACGACTTGCCTGCCTACCAGCCTGATTGCCGCCTAACTGCTCCCCTGCCAACTTGATGGCCTCCAACTGCCCTCCCCTGCCGGCCTCATGGCCCCCACCTGCCCTTCCCTGCTGGCCTGATTGCCCCTAACTTCCTGTGCCTCAGCCCCCACCACTGTGGCTTTGTCCGGAAGGAAGACGGACAGTAGGAAGATGTCCGGTCTAATTAGCATATTACCCTTTTATTAGTACTTTTATTAGTACAGATAGTCATCATGCTGTATTGGGGACCAATTAAAATAGTGAAAACTGAGTTGCTAAATCTCAAGCAACTAAAAGAACAAAAATGTGACAGTCAATAGGCCACGCAAAGAACACTTGCCAACAATGTGAGAGCAAATCAAGAAGCCAGAGTGTCATCTTGTTTGACTTCAGCTGGGAATTTGCATGTCAGGTTACCTAATTTTCCATTCTCTGCAC